GAGAGAAGAGAGAGGTGAGGAGGAGAGAAAAGAGGAGTGAGGAGAGCGGAGGAGAGGAGGGCAGAGGAGAGAAGTGACAGTGCAGTGACATGGCTATGGCTATATTTTAGGACTGTCAAGCTGGTGGCAATGTGAAGGACTGAATGGAGAGGGAGATGAAGCTGTGAAACCTGGAGAGGTCATTGCAGCAAGTTAGTCACCCAGTAAAGGAGATAAAATGTATTCTCAATTAGGAATCTCCAGGGCAGAACACACTAACGGCCATGGAGAAATGAAGGCTTACCAAAGGTCACGAGTTTAGTAAATAGGCGAGCTGTGATTCGAATTATTTTAATCCATAGGAAATTCTTCAAACCATCTGTCACAGGGGGAGTTTAACAATCTATTAAATAAGGAGTTTAAATGAAGAATTAGTAAGCTGTGGTAGAAGAGTAGCTATACAAATGCAAAGAGAATGCTAGACAAACTTGGAAAGGGGTGGCCACCCTCAAGGCCAGATGTAAACCTCTTTGGAGAGGGTGGGTGGCAGCTCACTAGGAGGCAGAGAAGTTCACTGTTTTGCCCAGGCCAGCAATGGACCATAATCACCTGAGAGGCAGAAGACACCCTCCAGGGCACTGGTGAGCTGAAGCTGATGGACAAGGACACAGGGCAGCAGGGGCCTTGTGGCTGTTAAACCTGGGTACACTGTCCAGAGCTCAATTCAGACATGGTAGCACAGCCCACAGCCCCTGTGCCTCAGCCCAGGAGTATGCTGTTCCACACCCCCTCTCCTCAGCCCCATGCACTCCCCTGCAGAGCTGACCAGTCCACCTTCACCTCCACACAACTAGCTTGGAGCCACTCACAGAAGTACATTACACTTCTGAGAAGCTGGCTTCTTAGCTCCTGGTCCACTAGTACCAGTGTCCAGCAGCTTCCAAGGGCACCTAGTGAGTTCTAAAACTTGGCCCCCAGCAAGTCATACCATCAAGGCACCTCAGCAAGTCTGCTGCCCAGTGACCAAGGCCAGGTGCTTTCCAAGGACACCTGTGTCTCAGCCTGGAGGAGCGAGAGTCTACCTTCGGTACTTATTTCAGTATTTCAGCCCTGAGTACAGGTTGCTCTGTACATATTGGTTATCCTTGATCCTTTAGGATTATTCTTTAATTCTCACTAGCTAATTCCCATGATGCCACATCTCCATTTATAATTTTTTATGTTAAAACTTTCCCTGTTCAAGTAATGTTTCTTTCTATCTCCTGCTTGGCCCCTAAATAATACATTGCTTATTATAAAAATAAATAAATAAATAAATAAATTTAAAAAACAGATTCCCTAAGATCAGTACTCTTTTGTTATCATGGAACCTACTACCATTAAATATTTTCAAAATATTCCATTTTATTTTTTAAAAAATCATAGAGGGTGGACAGTGGTGCAGCATAGAATGTGACACTCTGTGAGATGGAGCCCAGTGGGAAGGTTTCAGGTTCACGTCTGGAGATCAACCCCCACCCCTGAATACACAGGGTTTACTTTGCGCAAATGATCACAGACTGGCTGAAGCTGGGGGTGGATGATGGCATCAGGACCCTGTCAGAGGTGCTGTTTCTCTCTCTGTCTCTCTCTCTCTCTCTCTCTCTCTCTCTCCCTCCTTCCCTCTCGCTCCTGAATAAACTTTTTCAAAATCATATAAATAAATTTATAAATTAAATTGATTGTTGGCATTGATAACTATGGAAGTGGAATCGTAGCATGGGAACATGAAGATGTATTTTACTTTGTGTATTCTGGTTTTTGAATTATTATAGAGTCTGTGTAATTTTTTTTTACTAGAAGGAAATACATTAGTTTGGGGTTTGTTAGAACGGGTTATTCTACTAATGTAAGTAGATCAACACTTCCTCTGCAGCCATCCCCGAATGTGCAACCCTGCTCTGCCCAGAAAATTCCAGATGTTCACCTTCCAGTGAAGACAAAACCAAACTGGAATGCAAATGCCTTCCCAATTACAAAGGCGATGGCAAATACTGCGAGCGTGAGTCAAATTTAAATTCTGGGAATTAATTTATTGAGATGTTTATTTTATTTAACAGGAAAAAACACTACAACCTCCTTAATATTAACACAGCAACCATTTCTATTTCTCTCTTGTACTGGAAACAAATCTCTAAAATGCCAAGCAAGCTGTTAATCACATGATAGTCCTCAATTCATGTGATCATTTCTCTTATTGTCAAAGCACATACCTAGATTTTTTATACATACAGATTTTAGATATTAACAATGTAAATTTTATATTACCTTTGTCATTGCTAATACAAAACTTAGTGTTTTGGTTTTTTTTTTTTTACTTTTTGTGCTCATCCACTATGAGAGGCTGGTTTCTGTTTCAGTTAAAAACGTGACCTCTGGAGCCAGACGGCCTGGATTTGATTCCCAAACTGCCTATTGCTAACTACATGACCTTTAACCTCCCTGTACCTCAGTTTTCCTATTGATAAAAGGGATGATATATTTACCTTAGAAGATTGTTTTAATAATTAAATTAGGGGACCAGCAGATGGTATAATGTTTACATTGCTCGAGTCCCACGAAGTTACGAAGTTGACCACAGCTCGAGTCCCACACCTGGCAACTTCAACTCACGCCAGGTACATGTGCATCATGTGTGCCCAAAAGAGGAGAATGGAGGAGAAGGGACTGTGACATGGCCATCGCCCTTGGGGGGGG